ACCAGCAGCCCCACCTGGAGACACACAGCCCCCTCCTGCACCAGCAGCCCCACCTACAGACACACAGCCCCCTCCTGCACCAGCAGCCCCACCTGGAGCCACACAGCCCCCTCCTGCACCAGCAGCCCCACCTACAGACACACAGCCCCCTCCTGCACCGGCAGCTCCACTGCAGAGATTTGTTAACTCCCTGCTCTTTCGGAGTGTCCTGTGTCTGTAATGACTAGCAGTCAGAACCCTGGGGTCAACATTTGAACGACACCATCTACTACACACCCCTATAGTCTCCTTGCCTGGGGACGGTACTGGCTGCTTGCTCCAGTTCTTTGGAACTTACGCTCTTGATGATAACACAGGCATGTCTGAAAAAATGTCAGGAATTCAGACCTGAACCTCTGAAGCTATTTGTTAGAGCTGACTCGAACTCTACCAACAACGTTTGCTGTCTGTGCTGTTGCTGTAAGTAAATGGCTCTGTGTTTTTGTTACTGTATCTGTATACAGAGCCAGCCCTAGTTTTTGGGGACTCCTCTAGATCATGGTTTTCACAAACACTATTATCAGCTCTCAACACAACAGTATTGCACTACTCAGAACCATTAAATAAATTAATGATATAACTAGAACACTTTTATTAACCAGCTTTAAAGAACACGTAATGACTTATAAACAAAAAGATAAGGAACACATTTTAAAAAGAAGCATTAATAGCAATAACAAGTAATGACACAAAACAGCAAAATAAAGTAATGATAAATAGGCCCTGTGTTACTTCAAAGGTATAGCTTTAAAAGTACAGCACTGAAATCTCTGTAGAAAGGAACTACAGAAATAAATGCGAAATTAAGTCAGAAATAAAAAAAAACAAGGGCACTTAATACAAGGCAGGTGAGAGCAGTGGGGCTGAGCTGATGGGAACGTTTTTTTAAAAAAAAACGTACAAATGATTTTTTCGACCTCAGGGGTGTTTTAATCCACTCGAGCTCTGAAAAGCTCCTCTCTGCTCCTGTCGCTGTCACTGGCAGAGAGACTGGGTCCCAATCCTACTGGGAGAGGGAGGAGGGAACTCAGTTGAACTGGCAGCCCAGTATGTGACCTCCTGCCACAGCCTGAGGAACAGTGAGCCTGTCTCCCCATAATGCTCCACCTGTTTACAGTATATGTAAATATTTTATGATATGTCCTTGTTGTAAATGTCTGTAGATT